GGAAGGAAAACCAACACTTCTTTGTCGCTACACGTGCAAAATGAATTGGCGAGCATTTTGGTAAGGCAGATGAGAAACAAAATCGTGGATCAGGTCAAGGAAAGCAAGTATGTTTGCTTTTTTGATAGCACTCCCGATGTATCCCACAAAAATTAGATGAGTGAAAATGAAGTGACGGCAGAGGAGTCAATTCTCAGCCTCATTGAGACCAACAGCAAAAGAGCAGAGAAAATTGCTGATGGATATTGAGATACCTGGAGAAGGATTGAATTCAGATTGGTGACTGCCGTGGCCAGACATTTGACAATGCTGCTGTTAGGGAGGGCTGTCAATCGGGTTTGCCGAGACCTCTGCAAAATTAACCCAAAGCTACATTTGTGTCATGCTTGTGTTCGTGCAGCTTCTGTGACAGTTCATTCTGTTGCCTTTTTGGTACGATGGACCGGATATTCTATTTTTTTCATCTAAAGCTTGCTGGAATGCCTTGATTCAAGTCACCGGTATAAGTAGCAAGTGGCTGCAAAATCCAGACGGAGTAGTCGAGCAGGCGTTGTAGATGTTGTAGCGAAGAAATACTCGGAATTCATTGCTTCTCTGAAACACTCCAGACAATAAGGAGAAAATGCAACCACAAGATCAGATCTCGGTAGTCATTTCCGTTTATTTTGTTTCTGATCCCTTGGAGATCTGTTCCCATAGAAACCAGGGATGAACAGCTGACCCGGTGCCTGTGTGCATAGAGTTCACGGAAACAAACCTCTTAAGCAGAGTCGGTATCTCGCTCAACGCTATCCATCAAGTTATCAAATTAATCAGGCCATCTTTCAAGCTGGGATCTGATGGCATTTCATCAACCACCATTAAACTAGGAGGACCTGATATACTATTGCTACTGCTGAGCATGTTCACTCTATCGCTGGAACCTGGCAACTTTCCAGACCAATGGAAAACGTCGTTTATTATGCGTCGGCATAAAGGAGGTCCCAAACAGACGATTGATAATTACCGACCAATCCACAACACTCCGATAATCGCTGGCCCATTTGAAAAGCTGGTCAGAATGGAGATGATGAACTTTGTTGATTCTATTGGTCTGAGCAACAATTTGCTATATGGTTTTCTCAATAAGCGATCGTGCACCACCTGCCAACTGCATTACCTTGATCACATTTCAGAATCAATCGATTCCGGCTATGCAGTAGTAATCTTGTTTTTTGACATACACCAAGCGTTCGACCGAGTACCGCACAAGCGACCTAATCCCAACAACAATGACCACAAACATAAATTTGATTGGCTTGACTGTGCCCTGTAAGACATATAAAAGGATTTCCCTGTTATTGTAATAATACTGACGAGATAATACGAAATGCTAGTATCTGCCAATATTCGTCTTCTCATTTCGTTGTTCAGACTGCTACAAAATTTGGAGAACTTTAGGATCCGGGAACCATTACTAGGTTGCCCATCGTCCTACCTGAGTGATCGTCATCAATGGTTCAATGGTGTATGATGGGATAAAAAGCATAACTTTACAAGACCCACAGGATGGATATGCAAAAGAAAATTAATCAGGTAGTCATTTTAGGTGGTTATCGCTCTTCCTCACGCTCAATCACCAGTGGAGTCATTCAAGGGAGCGTGCTCGGCCCCTTACTCTTTTTGCTTTACATCAATGACATCACCACATCTGTAAAACATGGTACATCATTTTTATTTGCTGGCCATATCAAACTAGTCTATAAGTTTCGGCGTGACGAGCTTCACGGGATATTACTGCTCATTCAAGATGATTTACATTCCCTTGAGTCATGGTGTTGCATGCACATCGGTGATGAACCTCTCGCCTAAGAAATCAAGCATCATGTCTTACGGCTGCAGCATCCCCGAAGGATCTATCACCCTAAACAATGTACGCGTCCCTACACAATTGTCCTCGCGAGATTTTGCTATTAGATATTCGTCTACCTTCAATTTATCCGAACAAGCCCAATACCAAGTATCACGTGCCAGACAGTCTATGTTCCATATATCTAACAAAATACACACAACTCCTGCTAGCGTTGGGATTTTCAAGCTACTCACTCGCCCTATCCTTGAATACTGCAGCATAATATACGGAAATGTGAGAAACAGTGACAGGATTGCTGTGGAGAACCTGCAGAGGTCATTTACTAAACATCCGATTGGTAAATACTCTGCTATGTTATCGAGAACGTTGCAATGAACTTCATCTCGAACTACTTTGGATTCGACGATTGAAGCACAAGTTGTTGCTGCTTTTCAACATGTTACACAAAAAGACCTATTCCAACCTGCCTACACTCAATTTACAATATTGCTCAACTCGAGCGCTTCGCAACAAAGATTTTACATTGCATATACACATTACATTACATTATATACATTGAATATATAGAACGAACGTCCGCTCTAATTTCTTCCTAGTCAGATAGAGCTATCTGCGGAATAAACTACCAATAACACTCAGGTCATGTGACAATGTGGCAACATTTAGTAGCAGACTCCCCAATTACCTTGATCTAACTACCCTAAGCTCTATATTCACATGGGAAAAATCCCTCGATAAGCTATTCTAAGAGGGGCCCAAAAACACATAAACAACAATGTTTCCATAACTAGGCTTTAGCCTCAAGCATCCGGCAGAATATTAATAAATGAAACGCATGTCCCAAAACTCCACCTATAGATGTCAACCATGCAAGAGCACGGATTATTCTGTGCAAATTGATCTGTGCCGTTATAGACACAGTTTCTCTCATCAAAAGAAATATACGTATTATTATTAGTAGTAGTATTATATGTCTAAACAAAAGAGCTGGATCTGAGGCGAAGTTCTGCCAGACTTGCAATGTTAAGGGTACACCTTTTTCAGAAGAGAAAGAAAATAGTTGACATTGCAATGGATGAATAGACAAGATACCCCGCTGAATTGGGGACAAGGTTGAAGCGTCGAATCCGCCAAAAGAAACGATTGAACGGTGAAGAATTGTTTGATTTATGGATGTGATTTGATGCTGAGTTAACGCGGGAGATGCTGTTTGTCATAGACAGTTCGACTGATGAAATGCCACAAATTTCAGTAACTGCATGATTTTGCAAACAAATATGCTTTTCTTCCACCGTTAAATCTGCTTGATGATAACTATGGTTATCCGCTTGGCGAAGTTGAGGAAGATATATAACATCGGAATTCCTTGCCGAAAAGAGATTGCAGTATTTTGTGAAAGCTTCAAGCGACGACAAAAGTAATGTATCTTCTGTATAAATCTCACCTTGATAAATCTGCTGCGCATCTTTCTTGCTCGAACTATTAATACTGCCAGCTGTGAGAGTGCATTCTCAAAACGCAGAATTTTAACGAACTACCTTCATACATCAATGAACCAGATACGGCTCACGGATTTGCAGTTATCCCCATACAAAGGGAATTTGCCAATGGACTGAAGTTTGTTACTGTTATCAATACTATAGTCACAAGTAATGAATGAAAAGTGCATCGGGAAATTTTGTACACGAGTGTTGTAACAATGCAAATATATGCATTAAAGCAGCACTCTAAAATTAGATCTTTGATTGTTGTTATATGAAACGGGCTAACAGATTTCTAACTGCCAGGGATGCAGCAATGTTATGTCCGTTCCGGGCTGCAAAAGTAGTTGCTAAGCCAATGGAAGCAGTCTTAGATATTTTTCTTTCTCACTACATTTGTCGGACCCTACATTTTATGCCGGTTTAACTGTGCCTGTGGAATTGCTGCTGCAGGAATTCGCAAGTCGGATCACGTATTCAACTACGGTTCATCAGTCCAGTTTATGCGTGTAGTGCCTCTCAATAATGAAGAACCGAACAGACAAGTAATCTCATCCAGCTGAAGGTACACCGTTGTTGTGTGAGAGTCTTTGTTTGTGTCGGGAACCGGTCAGATTGGTGGATCAGTTGTAATCCGGCCAATTCAATCGCCGATCCCAAAAGCACGCACCAGCGGCGCGCAGTCGAACGCCACTAGTAGTTGTATCCAACTGCCGTCTGCATCGCCAAGTCATGGGACCCAGCATTTCAGCATTACAGTAAGCCAAAGTGACTCGAGTTCACAAGACTCCAACCCGTAAAGTGAATCCGAATGTTATGAATAGGCCGATCTCATCCACTACAGCGCTCTCGCCGCCGTCGTCTCATTCACGTAATCAACCAATGAGAAAAATGAGGAACTCAGGCCACCACGTTGGTCAAGACTCACGAAATCCGCAGTGCGCCCTCGCGCACCACGGTAAAGTTAGAGTACCGCGCGCACGAGCGTGTACACGTGTAATCTGGTCCGCTTTAGTCACATACACACATGCACACACACGAACAAAAGTAGTAATAAACGTGGTCCTATGCGGACAAAGGTTATTCTGAACGAGTTGAGAAATGCAATCAAACAGAAAGCCTTTGCTACATTTGCAACCACTAGTCGTGCGAGAACGAGAGGCCCCGAGGTGCAGTGAACCAAAAGCAGGTACAACTGCGCAAAGTTAGTAGTATAAAAGTGCAAGGAAACTCGGGCGGTAACGGGCCAACAGCGCATGATACCAAGCCAAAACAGGTGAGGAATGCTTAGGAGTTGCAGATGTACGTGCGCTAGAAACAGACACAGAAGCAACACGCGCCACGCAACATCTAGGGGAGAGTTAGAAGATGAGTGGAACCATTAGTAATGAGAACTAATGCCGATGTTTGATAATGTTTGCTACAACTAATAGCTCCGTTCCCACCTCGAGTTCTCGCTTCGGTTGTACTGAGAATGTAGCCATTCCAGAATCTACGCAAATCTACCGAGTGAAGGTGCAAATTAACATCAGCCAGTTAAGTCCCGAATTGTGAAGTCAGTGGAAGAAAAATCAACTGGTCAAGAGCGTCCTATTTTGAAATAAAACGTAACTTACACTTAATTAAGTAGGTTGACCAAGCTGAAAGTATATGTCTAGGGGACTTACCCGATGGGAAGTAGTATTGCACAAAGCAATCGCAGTCTCCCCATGGCACCGAACCGCCCAACTCTGCGTCTGACCGCAACGCCGAATGGGGATCGAATTCTTGCAGGGATTCGATGGTGACTGTCAGACAGTGCTCCGCTGATCACAAAGTGAACAACAAAAATGATGGTGTTAAAGAGCGAAACAACCACAGCTCTCGTATTAATATCTGTGAACGAGCATTGAACTGTTGACCAGTCCAATACAGCTAACAATGAGCAGTGTCTTATCAAATCTCACCGAAGTCGCCCGCACTTTCTTCTTCCGGAGAAGGACAGAATTTAGGCCACCGTATGATATCTAAAGCCTCCCACCCGCGCCCATCCGGATCAATAACTGGGCGCCCTTGCGAGTCCGTCATCTGTAGTGTATTGATCTGATCAGGAGTGCCGGCGGCTAGACGGACTCGAATTTGTCCACACTCCGAACCAGTGAAGGGATCGATCACTGGGATCCATTGGTTGATCGCAATTGCAGGGTGCTGTTGGTGGAAGAGGAAATAATAGGTTGTGTGCTTAGGCGTTATGTATAGGAAAAGACGTTTTAATACAGCAGAGACTAGATAGGACATATGACTGCAACTGATGCAAACGGATACATCAAACAAAACAATATCAGCCTGCACAGTTAGGAACATACGTAACCAGCGTACTCACTGCATAGCTCAGGATAGCCTTTAATACAGCCTCTGAATACAGGGTCACCGATTGCGCTTGCGGATCCAAACGGGCAAATGTGTTCGCCAAGGCGTCCAGTGGCAGTTTCGACAAACCAATGAGACGATCCGGTGAACCAGATATGAATGTGGCCCAAACTTCTATCACGGCAACCGAGCGGGACAGTCGCAAAAGGAGCTTCTTGAGAAGTAAAAAGAAAATGGTTCCTCAGGCAAAAACGTGTTGGTATTCGGTAGAATTTCATGGGTTTCCCCGAACGAACAAAATAAATGGGATGGTAACTACTTCGGTACCAAGCTGGGGCAACGAGCCAGTTTTAACCAAGAGAAATGATTGCAATATATAAGTAATGGATAGTATAGGAACATCCTACCGCTGCCCGCGACTCTTTGTCATGTCAACATGGCAATGCCGAATTCGAAAAGTTGCTGTGAAGGGCTTTGGCCTGGCGGAGGCTTCCTTGTGATGTGATTACACGATGAGTATCGTACTGCGGTACTGGCCACAACGAGTAGCGAAAGTGAATGATTGGTGACTGCGTTGCTAAGACAAAATAATTCATAGAATTTCTCTGCGAGTTAGAACATCTATTTGCGAATTAGGGCCTAAAATGTTGCGGAATACTGGTAGCTCAGGCTGATGATTCAATTGTTCATTTGTTCTCCGAGCTCGGCGGTTTTGTCGCAAACGTTTCACCACCATGCGAGGTGGCATCCTCAGTGAAGTGAGATGTGGCGTGCAATCTTACTGAATTAATCGTCCATCGGTGATCGACCTACAGGTGACTTTTGAAAGTGGCAGTGTCGATTTGCGTCCCGTGACCTCTACCTACTTTCCCCAAGACTAAAGTCGGCGTCCAAGTTGTTCTGCCTTAAACCGCGTGACAAATTGTTCTTTATATCTTTCAATCGAAGTGGTTCGTATATTGAATCGATGTCAACGCGCATTTTGATTGTTTTTCGTTGAGAACCAAGCTTCCAGGAATACCCTTTCTTTTCTTGTTTCACCCCGTGCCAGGACTTCTGCTTCGCTCCAATCGAAGCTATATCCTTCTTCATCTACGTGCAATGAAACTAGGGATGCATAATGATTTACACAGGCTCATTTATGTTCTTGTATCTTTGTTGCTCGTTTGCTTCCTGTCTGGTCAACATAATCCCTCGCCATCTCGGCAACGTATTTTGTATATCACATTGCGTTGTTCATGCACATGCAGTTTTTCTTTTGGTTTTGAAAGCGCTTTTCTCAACGTGGCAGTTGGTTTGTGTGCCACGATGAGATGATGCTGTTTGAATAGTCTGGCTGCCATTTCCGATATGTTCTTCATATAAGGCAGAACAACCCGTCTCTCCGTTGTTGTTGTTGTTGTTGCTGCTGCTGCTGTTGTTGTAGGCTGTATGTTTGCATTGTTGGGATTCAGAAACCTTCGGATGAAGCTTCGTGAGTATCCGTTGAGTTGGAAACATTTAAATAGGTGCTTTTCTTCCTTTTGCTTTGCTTCTGTGGTACTGCAGTGTGTTTGCACTCTGCGAAACAGCGTCCGCACACAGCTTACTTTGTGGCATTTCGGGTGGTTGCTGTTAAAGTTCAGAATTTGGTCTGTGTGTGTGCCTTTTCTGTAGACCGATGTTTACAGCTCGCTTTCCACGGTTCTTGTGACTAATACGTCCAAGAAAGAAAGCCGGCTTTCCTTCTCCGGTTCCATTGTAAATTGGATGCTATCCATGGAGTTGTTCAATAGCTGTTGTGAGACTGCTGTTCGGTTGAACCTGGTTATCACAAAAGTGTTGTAAACATAGCGAGCCCACAGTTTCGGATTGATGAGGGGTAATACATCCTCCTCCAATTTCTGCATAACCATCTCTGCGATGAGTCCTGACACAAGTGATCCCATTGGTGCGCCTTCCAATTGCTCATAAATCTTTCCATTGAATAAGAAATAGGTCGACAGACACAAGCGGAGTAGTTTGCATACATTTTCCATCGTCATTTTTCAGACTTGTTGTTCACTGTCGTTCAGCCGTCCTGTGATGACCGCTATTGTTATCTACAAATTAACAGACGTGAAGAGCGCAGTCACCTCGAATGATATCATTGTTTCATCATTATCTATTCGCAAGTCTTTGATTTTTGCAGAAAGTGCTGGGCATTGGTTGTGGGATATTGCGATCCACAGGTGAAATGTTTGAGGCGTCTCCATATTTCTTTCTCAAGGTTGTAAGTGGGTGTTCCCGGGAGAGACACGATAGGCCGCAACGGTGCATCAGGTTTGTGCACCTTTGGGAGTCCGTAGAATTGTGCGATGTCCGAATCGCGGGCTCTCATCCTGTCGCGCTCTTCTTTCGTGACTTGCTTCAATTCCTGAAGTTTCTTCAATGTTTTGTTTACTTTGTTTGTGAGCTACGAAGTTGGATAGGTGTCGATGCGCATCAACATCGATTCAAAATATGAACCACTTTGACTGAAAGATATAAAGAACAATTTGTCACGCGGTTTAAGGCAGAACAACTTGGACGCCGACTTTAGTCTTGGGGAAAGTAGGTAGAGGTCACGGGACGCAAATCGACATTGCCACTTTTAAAAGTCACCTGCAGGTCGATCACCGATGGACGATTAATTCAGTAAGATTGCACGCCACATCTCACTTCACTGAGGATGCCACCTCGCATGGTGGTGAAACGTTTGCGACAAAACCGCCGAGCTCGGAGAACAAATGGACAATTGAATTAGGGCCTAATTTAATTTGTACTACCTATCGTATATCCGGAATGACACGAGCCCCCCCCCCTATTTCATTCCCATGCGTGATTTCAAGTAGCCTCTATTACTCTAGCTAGAAATTCATCTTTGTTAAGTTAAACTCTTAACTGAGATGTATTTTGTGAGACAGCTCGTACCTGCTAGCTTCCATTTTTGTCGCGTGCATCATTCGACGTTTGTTTTAGCGCATTGTTCCTGAGGCCTCAGTGACCGTTAACAGTTGTTCCTGGTGGCTTACCAAAGTTTCCCTTAATACTGACACTATCAACCACCTCTCGTTGAGAGCATCTGATTAGTGCTTTACGTGACTGCTGTCTTAATGTCTTATTCAGTCCGGTGTTCTAAGTGTCTTGGTTGATCCTGACGGCCGCACAGCTGCTATATAACAGGGCCATGTTCTCATGAAAAGAACTATGTCCTTGCTCGTCTTGGTGTCCTCGTTGCTGATGTGGGCTGGAACAGCTGGGGCGACACAATAATATCCTTCCCGCGTATTGTGAGGTCAAGATTTCCAGGAATGATACTAAGGATTAAGGTAGCAAAGCACAGACCAGCGAACGGTCCACTCCGTCATGTCTGGACCTGATGTTATCCAGCCGTCAAAAATGGTCTGTGATATTCGAGCCTTGGAGCCGTTGGAAGCGAACTACCAATTGCTGATACACAATTGGTTATAGGCCATCATCGCGTATGCTGTGACTGGCTTGTTGAACCTATCGTTGTACGCAGGTTTATTGTCGAGCGGTTGGAAGAGCTCGATGGTAAATCTGATTCGGAAAGTCGTTGGTCCTAAACAAGTGGAAATCTACAGGCATCATTGTTTTACACCTACTTCGGCCAAAGTAGCCGAGAACACGGTGCAGCTACATGAGTTGAGAAACTTCTAGCACCCGCACAGCACGTCTCATGTATCACAAACCTGCTCCTGACGAGACATGATTCCTACAAACAATGAACAAGGGAAGTTGGTGGATGTTACCCATATCGATCTCAGCAAAGCACTTGATAAAATGAACCACGAGGTTCTGCTCCGCAGACTAAGGGTATGCAGCGATGGTGACTCACCACGCTAGTGATTCCCTAGCGTGGTGGTGCTCGTCGTTGGACGAAAGTGGGAGGTATGGACTGGCAATTAGGTGACCGACTGGTATTCTCGTTCATCGGTATACTTCGAGGTACAGTACAGGGGCCCATTTCGTATTTGATCTACGCCAACGATCACCTCAAATTTTCTGGTCGCCGTATGTCTCGTTTGGAAATGACCGGAATATGCGTAAAATGATAAGCATTTCCGGCGACCACAGCTTACTTCAGCAAGACCTAGACTGCTTTTCAGTGTGGATTGAAGAGGTCCGTCACCCGGTCAATCCAATGAATTCGTTATTGGTGAAGTTGAGGAAGGGCGCTGACGACCGAGCCTACATCATCGACGAGTAACCGTTCCATTACACAACTTCGGTCAAGGACAAAGACATTCGAAATTTGTGGATAACAAGAACATGCCATACCGTAACGGGTTGCACATGCTTTGAACACCCAAACGTAGCTTCTGCGATTGGTTGGAAGAGGCTGTCACTCGCCTCTTCGTCTCTACCATAAGACCAAAGCTAGAGTGCAGCTCGCCTGTCTGCTGTTCGATACTCTGGGGAGAGATACAGAAGGAGTCCATGTCGAAAAGCTGGTCGGGCACGATGAGACCTCACTTCCCCATGCTGAGACCGCGTTTACAGCGTACTGATGATACCTTCCACTTCTGCGCTCGTGGTTCCCGTAGTAATGTGAGTTACCCGATTGTATGTGGGGATAAGAGAAACGATAAACCGATGGACAAATGTTTTTCACAGCCTTTTGATGGGGTTATACAGGAATATTCCCCATGTTCGTCCACTACCGTCGACGAAGGGCGGACTTGGCAATCCGATAAAGTTGACAGCATTGGGCGTCCATTGGTGTTTGACCCACATTGGCCCTTGGCAAGTGGAATGAGAGAAAGATACCTCGAACATCGGCACAGCCGCGCCGCGTTAGCGCACCAGATAGGCGCAGTTTGTGCGCTTTCGTAAGGTAATCGTATTCACACCTTTGTAGGGGTGCGAGATTTGAATGCGTCGGCACGGAGTCACTCAATCAAATTTCAACTATTCCGCACCTTAGTGACATGCGGTTGGCGCACACGCACAATACAACGAATCACTCGACCAATGAATAAGATAGCCGGACACCTGCACTGCTGACATATACGAGGTCTAGCCGAGGGCGCTTCGTAGTCATACTTCGAGGGGGGTAGACTCGCTTGGTTCAGTTTAGATGGGCTTGCAAAATCTAGACACAAGCATCCGCAAAGTAGAAGCAAATGATGGTGGATGCATTTATGGAGGGAGAGGGTGATGGTCAGTAACGGTGACTTCAATCGGTTGGTCAAAAGTACAAGTGACAGACGAAACTGCTGTGTCTGATGTATACAATTACTGGATCACCGTGACGGTTGCCACTGGGACCGTGGAATAATTGCAACTCACTTCGTCCAAATTACATGAAGTTTTTAAAGCGAATTTATAGGTTGGACGTTGTCCTCCTGTCCAACAGACGACTGACTTGAACCGGCAAGTTGTACGTTTGGCGCTGGAAGCGGTTCTCTCGTCGGATTCCGCCTGGCACCATGGCAATCGAACGGTCAAGTACGTGTGTTCGGCAGGTTGAATTGATACACCGCCGGATTGATCCCTTTCAGATAATCGTAACCCACGGCCATGAGAGACGGATAACAAAGTGTCAAGGGGAATGGATTGTGTTTGTTTTAGCTGAGGAGGCGGATGAAGCAGAAAAGAAAGTATCATCGGCTGTATAAGAAGATCGAACTGATGTATTAGAAGCAAACAACCATGGAATTTCAAGTGGGGATTAAGGGAGGTGAAAGGCCTTAAGCCACTAATGATTCAATAACTAAAGTCGGTAATTTGCAGATCCATGGTTATGGTGGATTTCAAATCCACCCTGCGGTCTGCTAATGTTCCCCGATAAGATGAAGCGGCTACTCGGCGCTTGTGGCGGAGTGACTGATGCTAGTTTCAACGAAACCGACAGCCATACGAGTCTGGTAATATGAGTCGCGGCATTTGCTAGTCTGTTCGGTAAATATGGATGGATTTGTAGAAAGTTACAAACACGGAATGAGCACAGCCTGAATCGGATGCAGAGTTGGGAAATAGATTGGTAAGTGTGTGTTCAGCACCCACGCATTTACGCACGCTGCAGCCTGTAAATTATTGGATGAGTGAGTACCGCTGACAGTCAATATGCCTGTGAGCAGAATACTAGTCTCAGGTGTGTCACCGGTTTGTGGATGCGACTACTGCGCCAACTGAGGTATAGCAGTAAGCGAGCGAACTACGTCCCTAACCACAATGGTTAAGACGATCCTCTATTACCCGGATTCGGGGCTCGTATGGAGAATGGCGTAGAAACATTGTACTACAGTGCCGTCAAGTGTTAGCAGCCACAGCGAACAGTACATTAGTCGGAAGCTAAGCGAGTGCACGGTGACCAGAGAACTCGAAGCATATAAACGACGAGCAGAGAAGGCAAGAGAATCCGATCCGCGACTATAACTGGCTCACCGTGGATGGAAAGTTGTCGGGCTTGATCGGCTCCTTGAAGCGAACGCTTTGATGCATTTGGAGTGGCGTAGCGTCTGTTTGTGAGAGAGAAAAACAGGTGAGGATGAGGAAACGGATGTTGCAGTTCTGAGTAGTTAGCTACGCACAGTGGAAAAGGATGCGATTTGTGGAAGAGGCGAAGAAACGAGGGATTTCACTGACAAATCGTTCATAACATGTGATCACTAGTTTAACAACTAGGCTACTCACGACTTCTGATGAGAGAAATTCCATTAGGAGCAGCTAACCAGTAGCCAACGGTAAACTACCTCTTGGGTTACTCCAATAGCGAATGAGAAATCGTCAACTATTGTAGGGGTCATTTTGAAGCGGTATGCAATCTCAAATAGGAGCGCAATTCACATTGAAGTGAAGGCCGGTCTATTCAGTCACAGGGACCGTACCTGAAGCAGTAGTACGCAAAATGGTACACCAATCAGAAGGAAGAAATCACTATGATCAAGAAACATGGTGATCAGAACAAGAGTCAACGAACAAGCTCGTGTTCGGTGTATCTCGTCAGCCTGATACACCACAACTAATAAGAATAAAATGAGTTAAAACATCAGCCAATTTACCGCGTATCTAGATGCTTCACACGATGTCGCCTATTAGCAACAGCCGAAGCGATCGTCATCCGTCTCCAGAACCCAGACTTATGTGCTCGAAAACAATTTGTTCAGATTCCTTCTCTCTTTTCCCTGGCCCCCTATTAGAGTAACCCCTTCGGAGAAACATGCAACTGACATGTCATTGACCGTTTGTGAACCAAGCGCTTGACCTTGTCATTTAAATGACTTAGACCTTTTAATTTTACCCTTTGAACTTTACTCCCGTGTGATGTTTTAACTCATTTTATTCTTAGTAGTTGTGTACCAGCCTGACGAGATCCACCGAAAACGAGCTTGTTCGCTGACTCATATTCAAACATGGAGATATCCAACAAAACTGGAATACATAGAACGAAGGGGGTGATAAGTAGGATTAGATCAAATGGATTAAAATAATCAAGCAGGTGACCGATACCGGCTGCTCTTCATCCATGTCTCCTCATAATTATGAATTATTTGGAAACGACAGTGACAGATAATACAAATTTGCTGATTGACGGGTTAGTGCCATCGCCGCCGAGAATCTCGCACGTTCCTAGCAATTGTGTTTTACTGAATCCGTAGCGGATTTCTGACGCAGATCACAATCCTTCCAGGCGTGAATGCGGTGGTGTCCAGGTAAAAGGAGGAACCGGAGTGGCGTGTTGGCTTGTCAGTTCATCTTTGTTGAGGAAGATGAGACTGACTTACAAATTGTAAATTTTCGGGTGATCAAGAAGGGTGTACGAACCCGTATCAACCGGTTGCTCAACCTCCAGGCACGTCCCGCAGTACCTCCCAGGACCTCCGTGTGGCATTCGCCAACGTGTGCAGCTTAATGAACAAACATGATGAACTGTGCCGCTTCGTTGTCTCGGAGCGGCCGGACGTCTTAGGACTTGCAGACTTGGCTGAACTCCGACGTCATTCCCCAAGAAGTCGTGTTGTCAGGATACTCTTGTTTCCGATGCGACCGAAAATCAAAGGCTCCCGGTTGTGTGTTGTTGTACATAAAATCGTCACTATCTGGCAAACTCACCAGCACCTATCGGAACGAGGATAGTTTAGGCTAGCAATTGTGGTGCACAATCCGCCTCAGGCGCGCAGAACTAATAGTGGGTGTTATCTACCGGAGCCATTAAACCGCTGTTGCGATTGGTTAACACATGTACGGAAGCACATGAGCCGTCCTCAGTTATTACTGATGGGGGATCTAAATTTACCTAAGGTATTTTGGCCAGAGGTTCGAGTTCTTCCCGGTCATGGCAACGTTGAGGCACAATTCGCTAAAATGATTATTGAAATCGGGGCAACGCAACATGTCATCCAACAGACGCGCGTAACTCCGCACTCGGCATCTTGTCTGTTTACGAGCTGCGAGCAGAAGATGAACGAGATCAGAATCATCGAGCCTCTGGCGAACAGTGACCACTACTCCATTGTGGCAAGCTTAGAACTGTCGTTACCATATTGCAATCAACGGAAGCCGACATTCAACTACTGGAAGACGGACTTCAACGGGCTCGTCCAAGCTGCAAGTCAGACTGATTGGACACCACCACAGGATGCGCCACTTGAGACTTGTTTGTCATTAATGAAGGGGAAGCTTCACTCGCTCCGTACTCGGTTCGTTCCCCTTAAGTATCCAAAAATCGGACCTGTCAAACCGCATTAGTTTGATAAGGAATATAGACAGTTAGCGCGACGGCGTCGTAAACTTTGGGATAGATACATCAGCTCGGGTTGTGATGAAGATTACATGGTGTACAAGAAACAGCGTAACTTATGTAACGCCGCAAAGATCAAGAAACGCCGGCAGTTCGAAGAGGAGCTAGCATCCTCGGTCACAACTGCACCCAAGCGAATATTTGCCTACTTGAAACGTCAACTGAAACCTGGGGGCGACCTACCGGTCTTAGAGAGCTTAGACGGAAAGACCCTCATTTCAAGCGCGGAGCGCGCCCACGCCCTGGCTACGCACTTCCTCACTGTATTTTCCAGTAAACCGGCGGCTGTTCCAGTACCGGCACAGGTTGCGCAAGTCTTGCTCGACAGCCTACAATGTGATACAGTCGAAGTACATCAGCTACTCGTCAATCTCAATGGTGCAAAGCCCCCCGGACCAGACGCACTTCACCCACTAATACTCAAGTCCCTATCGATTACCATCTCACCAGCCGTGACAAACCTTTTCAATAAATCGCTCTCTGAAGGATCTGTCCCGAACGACTGGAAATGCTCGATAGTTAAACCGCTTCCCAAGGGTGGTGATCCGAGTAAACTAGAGAACTATAGACCGATCTGTTTGACTTCGGTATTATCCAAAGTGCTCGAGAAGGTTGTGAAAAAGTGTCTGCTAGCGTTCTTCGAATCGATAGACGTACTGACGCCAGTGCAACACGGCTTTACGAAAGGGTGATCCGGCATCACCAAACTGATGTACGCAAACCACCATTGCGTACGAGCTCTCAACGAACGGAAGGATGTTGACGTGGTGTACATCGACTTTAGTAAGGGGTTTGACAGAGTGAACCACGATGTACTCCTTGGTAAACTGAGGACATACGGAATCGGTGGCACGTTACTTCAGTGGTTACAAGAGTTTATTGTGGGACGAGTACAGGTCAATGACTACCTGACAGACTGGTTCCCATCGACTAGCGGTGTGCCTCAAGGAACTGTACTTGGGCCAGTATTATTTCTTATTCATATCAACGATCTTCCGCAGCAGCTCCAGTCACCATGTGCCCTGTTTGCAGATGATTTGAAAATCTGGAGGATAATTGAAAACCAGGACGACTGCACTCGCCTCCAGCATGACTTAGAGCGACTGTCGACGTGGTTCACTGAAATGCAGGTCCCTCTTAAAGGAAGCAAGTCGGAGTTCATCAGTATCACCAAACGTCCAGCCACTCGATCATGCACCTTGAACGGTCAATTGCTCCACCCTAACACATCTGTCAGAGACTTAGGAGTGCTCTCGCGACATGCTATGAGATTACTAGAAAATACGGAGAAATGGTACCGTGCAGGACTTCGTATGCTCTGGGCATTAAGACGCAGTTTCTCCACATGGTCCGAAGAAACCGTCCCTCGTCTATTCACCTCGCTCGTTAGACCAATCCTTGAATACGGTGTCCCAGCTTATCATCCGATAACCCAATGGGAAACTGAAAAGCTGGAGAAAATACAGCATATCGCAACTAGAATGATATCGAGTTCACAAAAGCTTCCGTATGAAAAACGTTGTGAAAGTCTCGGACTCTACACACTATCCTATCGCCGAGTAAGAATTGCCTTTATTATGACCCATTGAGTACAACACTTAAATCACTTTCCCATACTGCGGCCAATATTTCACCTGCGGGAAACCTGTAACACCCGAGGACACCGTTACAAACTCAGGGTCCCCAGGATGAACAAAGTATCACATCAGATTTGCATCGAACGAAGAATCGTAAACTTATGGAATACACTACCTGAAGGATTATTAGAGGCCGATTCTGTGAAGTGTTTTAAAACGCGTATCGACGATTATTTCGGAAAACTGTGCTTTTGTGAAACGATGCACATACAATGCCAAAAGAAGACATTGTATGCCCGGAAATAATGACAATAGTACAAATTGCTAACCGAACAAGGATAAACGATTAAATGACCAGACACAACTGCTGATGATTCACAATTAAATGTTTTTGATTTTTCGTAATTCTACAGAGTTGTATAGAAACGTGTCTACTTGCTCTTAAATACAGTCTCAGTCTCAGTCTCAATAACCTGTCTGTCCCTGAAGGACTAGTTTCCTTGGAGATGAGCAGTGATGGATACTTTTAGGGATTGCGTAGCAATGGAACCGGGTTGTAAGTCAACAACATCTACTGCAACGGGAGGTCCGCTCACCTCAATACCTTTACCTTGCTTTCTCTACCTGCGTGGTTCTGTCCGACAGAGCAAGCTGTGTACCAACGCTGTATCCAAGCTTCTTTGATTGGTAATGCACAATCGGTAACCGTTATGAATATTCAAGGGTAAGCGTAATGAAGATATGAGAGAAAAGTGAACACCTAGGTTGAGTACCATAAGGACAGATAAAAATAACTCACCAAAGGAGAAGATTAAAAATAGTGTAGCCTACACTGATGCGATCAGAGAGGCGATAACAACGATGAACAGTTGAAGCCCTGAAATGAACTGCACACTTTCTGCAACTTATGATGTTAACTGCGATAGCGTCTGACCTCATTGACTGACCTGTTAATAAAAAAACAGTTGCAACACCAGCCCTGGTCCCGGTCAGAAAGGTGACGAAAAGCGAAAAAATAGCACACAAAACACTTGCCTGATTCGTGTCTGGGAGTAACAGACCAGTGTGGCTCCAAGATCAGCTCAATGCGACCATGAGGGTTGGTTTGGTACAATTTCTCTCGTGAGGACCTCATCGAAGAGCGCATGAGCAAATGGGAGTAAACGGGTAGACTGAGTCGAGCCGTGGGGTCGTTGGGTGCAAGCACTTTTTCGGTGATAGCAGCTTTGAGATCCTCTATCGGCAGATCACCTGAGCACATGAACTGAAGAGGAGGAGCCAAGTGGCCAGAAGTTGCGGATTCAGAATGAACAAAGCGGAGTACAGGGTAGTCACGTCCAAAAATTGGGCGCACAATCATGGAGTCATAGAGCGACTAGCGAAGCCGGTCTCTACACGTAAGTCATTGCAAACCGAACATGGGTTGGCCGACAGAGTTCACTGGGATCAAACAGCCACAATCACTATTGGAAATGGTCATGTGAAGAATGCGCCATGCTGCAGTAAGTCCAGTGCCAGACAACAGCATGACCGTTAAGCGGCGAGGACATTTGGAAACGTGACTGTCTTCAGCCGCCGGCGTCTGCTTGGTACGGATTCGGCAGGGTCACATAGCCTGTTACCCTTCAACTGGCACTGGATTGGTGAAAATAACTCTTTTAGTTCGATCAGATTAGGGTATTCGAATGCCAGCCAACTGTCTACCCCCGGTGTGCATCGTTAACCAACGATGGGTTAGGTGGATCATCAGGTCGATTGGTAGAGGACAGCGAAAAACAGTGTACGAAACACTTGGTGCGGTCACTGAACACGGTCTGCAAGGATGAGGATCTAGAGACAGGTAACCCGAGTGGTTGGGAGATCATTTCGACACGGCACAGTCGTGAAGGCAATGTACTATGAATCTGGTCAGCTGTTTCCACTCGTCGGCCGTTTCGTATAACGATCATAATGCCATCATCCCTTTTTCATGAATGTGTATTCATGTATTTGTTTGCCGTAACTTTTTTCTCTCTCCGTAGTCTGTGAGTCATTTTAACTGAACTAATCGTACTTCGGTGCTTGAGATACAGTCGGCAGAATGAACTCAACCGATTATCATTTTCGATCAAGTAGGCGAGCACATAATTTGAGACTAAGAAAACATTATAACCAACGAAGAATTTCGTCGCAAAGGTGAGTTGCTCCGCGTGTTTCCCAAGGATGAAAGGCCTATCGTGTTTGAGTGGAGGGTTATGTTGAGACAATCTCACAGGAAATCCAATCAATCACATCAAGACTGCACAGTGGCAACTAACTGGTCTGGGAACACTTGGTAGTGGTCACAAAATCGCCGGGACATAATGGGCAGTTAATTCGTCCACTGCCCTTCAGATAGTAGAGACTCGCCTCAACGCAGATCATATTTTTAAATAAATAAATTGTTTATTCTCGACAAAGCGAAGCACGCTTCTACAGGCATGATCATATTAAGGTAACAAGGCGTGATCAAAAATGTAGAAAATACAACGTGTTTGCCGTAACACTGAATGTTTGTGTAGGGGTGTGTAATCGCGTATGTGTGTAGCTGTGTAGTTTTTGTTTGTAAGTGTGCCGCTGCATCCTTCGCTGTTTGGTAGCATCGGTAATGTAAAATAGATGATTGATGTCCGTGAGTTGGATAGGATTATCCGGATATTCACGGGACAGTGACTTTAGTTGGTGGGGAGTCACGACCGCCACGTCGCAGTGTTGATAAACAGACAGTTGTGGCTTTGTATAGGGAGAACACTTGCCAGGCGAAAACCCACCATGTCCTGAAACACTGCTGCCGAACTATTTGCCAGAACGGGCTAAACAAGAAACACCCATCTGACACAAGGAAAGGTCACTGTGCTAAATCTATAATGCAACGGTCACGTATGCGGTAGGTTAACTTGACCTTGGAGCAATGTGGGCTACGGTGTCGCCAAGTTTAATCTAGTGATTTGGGTAGGTTGCGATTGTAACAGCGCATCAAAGAACACCACATGAGAGAAGACAGTTGCAGCTTAGTGCACTTCACAGACTTTGTTCTAGTTCAACTATCCGATAGTGAATCTGACCTTGAGAAGCAGCAGACCATGTTGCCAGACTTGATGCCGTGGGAGCATAAAAATATCTCCGACAATGAGAAATGGCGTGCTCAGGATGGAGGAAACTATGCTCACTAGAGGACATGTCAATTTGAAGGATGTCCCCAGAAAGAATCAGACAGAGCACACGGAGTGGATTCGTGTTAAGGATAGTAGGTAACATCACAGTTCGCTTGCATTTTACCGAGACGATGACATGAAGTAACTCAACCTGCTGCCGCAGTGGGTCTGTTCACGTCCTCGTACCACACAAAAATGATATACATTGAGAGTAGAGCTAAATATGTGCTGTGCATACCCTAACTGCTCTAACACATGTCGACAACCAGAACACCAAGGTGAGTAAGGACAAGGATTGCTTAACATCAGAAATGACACTGTTTGTATAACAGACAGTTTAGCAGACGATTAGCAGTCAAGCCCAACCAAAACACTGAGAACACCGGACTGAGTAAGCCAATAAGATAGTAATCATAAAAAGCACCAAACGGGTGCACTCAAGGAAAAGTGATTGACGGCGTCAATCTCGAGGTGAAAATTATGATAAGCCACTAGAATCAGCGACTGTTAACGGACAACAAGGCTGCCAAAATGGGTGCGTTAAAACAACCGCCAAGGGGTGTACGCAAAAAAAGCTTGCAAACATGAAATCACACGAAATGCTTCATAAGTAGGCGTTTCCCATATCAGTATGAGCATTACAGACTGATCGTTGTTCAATCAAGTAATCGAATGTGCTTTGCGAAAAAGGTCACCATAGCCCATGCCAATTTTACTCAAATAGGGACAAAGGTCAGGGGACATTCTCGCCAAGTGTTAAAGAGACTTCGCGACGAAGCGAGATGTGGCGTGCGCCTCCGGTAGATGTCGGCTTGTCTCAACTCTCTCTTAAATTGGTTATAACCACCAAAACGTGCTGTGTCACATGTTCTCCTGCGAATATCGGGAAAGTAGAAAGTCCATAGCAGTACTCGTCGCATTCTGTGAATCGTCTACAATCACATACCTAATGCACCAGAATGCATGCAAGCCAGAACACTAGAGCACCAACCTATTCCATTGAGAATTGTGGATTCCGTAAACACTATGGTTTTCCAAGAATGCACAATCTACTGGGGTTAGCTGATTTTCAAGATAGTCTGTGCCAGACAAAGTAACTCGCCTGGCGCCGTAGAATTCCAACTCTCTTGCTTAGCCCCAGGGTCTAAACCACAAGAGACCCAGCTATGTATCATTGATGGTCGTAGAGTTTAGACAGCTCGCAAGTAATGAGGTGGACGACGTTCCAAGTTACACCAGAGTCTTGTGGTACAGAACTTTAAATTAAGAGAATCTACAGTACGCTACACTATGTGGATTCAAACGTTTGTTGGCTCTTCTTGTCAGCAGAAAGGCATTTTCGCACTAATATCTAGACGGATGACTACGCGAAGTGACTAGCATTCAGCCTGCTTAGCGGACGCAATTGATTCACCTTGAGACCCCCGAACACAAGCGTAAGCGAAGAGTCCATCTGTTCCATTTTTGCACATTAATCGAAACACTGAATCGTGCTGGATCAGACCACAACTGTTTGATCGGTAGAGACCAACTGACCCAGGTGCTTCCAAACTGTGATTAAGACAAAAATACATTCCAACAGCCTAGCTTGGTTCATCTGGATAACCACACATTTACTTCACTGCGCCGAAAATATCCAGTGTAGTGGTTGAATGCGACCTCAACATCCTTAAGGGAACCACAGACCGATTTGGGAAGCATTGCATATCACACACCACCACAACGATGACTAAACTCCACTACAATGAGTTGATCACGAACCGACGAGGGTTAGCATGGTGTCCAGCCAGCGTAAACTTATCACCACAGCGCTTCCAATGTACTGCAGTGTAAAAAGTTTGTAGCATTCCTTCCTATCTCTAGGCAGCGGGCCACTAATGTCGTCTAATTTCAGCAGTGATTCATTTTGTAGGGGGGCGGAAGCCAACGACTACTCAGAAACCAGAAAGACAACAAAAACGGGATAGTAGGAAATTACCAACGGGCGCAATGGATGAGACAATGAAGTGCGAGATTTGCGGATCGAGACGAGAGGAGATCACGAGCGATGTCTGGTAACGAACCTGGGTTCAGAACAACGGAGGAGGTATTTGTCGAGAACGAAGTGAATTAGACACACGCCGCTAGCGAAGTCCACATAACTGAACGCGGGCCGAGTGATGCAGCCATGGGAAAACAAATCGCAAGCTTTCGAACAAATTCTGGCTGGCTAGCATCGGACATAGGGAAGCGGAAATACGGGATGAAGCATGGAGAAATTGTTCCCTAGGCTTAGTCTCGTAAGGCACATGGAATGGTCCGTCTCCCAAATCCTCATCCGCGGTGCGTCGTGGGAAGGAAACACGGTCCATATCTGTACGGGTTTGTGAGTGATTAATTTGTGCATTGTTGTGGCAATGCACGCTCTGCTCCCCTCCCGCGTCGTTCTCGCTACAATATGAAGTAAACTGAATGGAGACATTGGGGTATGCTTGGACGCTGCTGAAGTGTCTCGATGTCCAAACAGGATGAACGTTCACCATCGCTCGGTGAGTGGTTCGGTCGCAGAAACATTATGAACACAACCATTGCACTACAAATTCCGAAAACACTATCCGACTATTTTCCCCATGGAGAGCTGGCAGCTTAGTGGTGATGACAGCGACCACGAGACGCCGGATTCGATTTCAGGCTCGGAATTTCTGTTCTTCGGAGTCGAGTAGGAATCCAGTCGTGGAGTGCATCTGATTCAGGAGGTTACACGTGTGATTCGGACAAATGACAACGGCTGACTGTGACAGCTTGTAGGGCGAACACTGCCGTCCGATTGTACAGGCCATCTCTCACCTGGTAAACATGGTGGGCACATTAAACGTACCGAATAGCTAGGACCACTTGGACTGCCAAGTACCTATGAAAACCCAAGTATGCTTCCATCTTGGAAAAAATCACCTTTCGGAAATCACAATCATATGTTCAAAGAATGAGGTTGCTGAAAAGTACTCACCTCGGATACCGGTTGTGTGAATGAAGAATTTGCATCAGAAAACAAACGAAACCGTATATGCTCTTCAGTAGGAGAGGGAAGACCGGTGAGGTTGACCAGGCTGGTAGACTGATCCAGTGACTCAGGTACGAGGCGCACCGTGGACGCATCGGGGCTTTGTGCAAACCCGGTTGCATGTGGGTGGCGAGTGGAGTTTTCCATTGACAACCGACAAGTATTGGTCATGTACACCAGATGTGAATCTTTCAAGGAGTGCATCGGGACGGAGATCTCTAAAGTTAAATGGCTGAAAGTTAAGGAAATAAACTGGGATTAAGTGTTTTCGGGCAGGTAACACTGAAGAGCGAGCAAACAAAAGAAACAGAATCACTAAACCAGATTAACTCGCACGCTGAGAGTGCGTGCGGTCACCACAGTGAAAGGAAGTACAGATGAAGGCCATTGAGGGATATCACCCTGAGGTTCAAATCAGACGGTTGGTCATGATCCCAAATGAGAATCCAAATTTGTCGCTCAGATGTCCGGGAGAACATCCAAGAAAATTTATATCGCTACTAAATGAAAAACCGAATGTAGCAGCGCCCAAACGTCTGCGCCACGGTTGCTTATTCATTGGGGGGTAAAGCACTTCGTTAGGATAAAAAAAGGTCTAGAATCATTGGTAGCGAAGAGTTAGGTTTTACAGAGAATGTTTCCGCAGTTGGTGAACAAGTCACAGTGAAAAAACAGTTTGCATAGCAAAGCAGGATGTATGTCCATACTTGTGACTTATGATCCATATTCACTTTTCTTCAACGGGAGGAAGGTAAGAAGCAGCAATCCGCGTTGTTCTATAACGTGGGTGAGAAACAGGCTAAGCTAACTGTCCAGCTTCGTAGCCCGCATTCGTCGAAGTAGAACATTAATGAAATGTCCACCAATCACCTCTTTTGTGGTGATATGTAATCGGATATTTGATTACTTCTCTTCAACATGTGAAAACGACTAAAATTCAGGACATCGTAGGTAGCCTGAGATGTGATGCAAGGGAATGAACAAGGCAACATCGGTTTTGGATTCAGTCGGCCAATCTGGATTCCATGAGGGGGACATTGTGAAGGAAATCAATGGAACACCTAGCCGGTATTCTGAGTTCACGTCCTGATGAAGAATACCTGGGGTGAAATAGTATCTAAACTGTGAATAAGCATTAAAAAACTCAACTGCGTCATCCGCACTTTTGGTCTATAAATTTCCCGATCCCTAAGTGCCCTATGTATCGCACCGTTAGTACGCTCCATATTACCGTGGGGGAAACAAAGAACATGATATGCGGACCGATAACACTACACCAAAAGGGGACAATATCGAAAGATGTGTAGCTGAAGGACACGGATGGTACCAAGGCAAACACTACATATGAATGGTGAATATTGTATTACTTGAGTAACTGGAAGTTTAGATAGGTACAACTCCATCGAAATATGATCAAACCGTTAAAAATATAACAAACTAGATGTGACCTGTCAATATTCTTATTGTTGTTCAAATTCTCACGTGATATAGTAAAAAATGTATGACTCGCGGTGACTTTGGGGTTCACAAACGTGAGATGCCATTACCAATGGATAATCGTTCTCTGGATAAACGTAAATCCAACAACATTTTGGATTGCTGCACCAAATTTGCTTCCGCCAAGTCCTCCGGTCGACTGTTCCAAACACTGACCAGTCTCCGAACGTAACAGAAAAGATGGTCCGTCTCGCCTTCCAAAACGGAGTCCGATCGACCCGCCTTGTGCCTGCTTAGATAGGTTACATCCCATGGCTCACGGTCGGCATCCGTGACGCGTCAACAGTAGTCTGCTAGTCGAACTGCCTGTTTAAAGTGTATCTGGAGCCGAGTTAGTTGCGGGGTAATGGCTGATTATGAGGCGGGAAAGTGAAAACCGCAACGAAACTGTCTTGTCGATGTCACTTATCATTGCGCGATAGCCAGGTGTTTGTGACTGCTGTTGACAAGGTGTAAGCGCACTGGCTCTGAATGCCTGCTTTGGGCTTTTAGCTTTTACACCAACCTCACATCTCCCTCCTATCATGCTTCACTCCTTAGGTAGGTGTAGTTGTGCTGCAGTGGTCACAATCCAAATGGCCGTCGTACTGATGCAGCTACTGCTGCCGCTGCCGTTGATGCAATGATGGCACATCATTCACTTTGCTGGGCTCAACGCCTTTCGGAACCGGTTTTACTGCCGAATAGTTCGAACCAATCAGCAATGAAATTGTTGAAATGGCAGCCCAGAGAATGAGATGATGGCTGATAAGACTACAGGATCAGTGGATGGAGTCCGTCAAACCCAGGAGGCTTGGGGACATCAAGGTTAGCGAGTAGTTGAGGCGCCTCTTCCACACTCCAAATCGCTGTCGAGTTCGGGAAGCTCGGTACACGTCGGACTCGGTATAGGTGCATGGTGATTTGTAATCTTGGGAATGAAGTGCGTCGCCAATGCGGACGCACGCTCTGATGGAGTTTAAAGGCTGTTCGTCCGAGTCCACTACTACTGGTAGGTCACTTGTCAGCTTCAGGCGCCGCTTCAAGTTGTTGAACGCTCGGTTCGTTCGTTTGTGTTGCCTCTGTTGTAACCGCTAGGCCTCGCCTCTGTTCTCTGCCTTGTGCTCTGCTATACTGTGCTACTGCTAAGACGCTCGCGAGTTCGGACATGTGCGTGCCTTTTGCTTTCACGCGTACGATCCCCCCCCCCCTGAGTGCACAACCGTCCAACCAAGCCCGCCTGGTTGATTGGCCCTTAACTGTCTGCCCGCATTGCTCGCCTGGGACGATGAAATGTGATTTCGTCAGCGCCCTGACGGGCGCGTAGTAGCGCACGTGACGGCTGATGCCGGATTTCATCAGCTTCCATTTTGGCCATGGCAACGAGGCTGTCAGCGGCTCACGTGGACAGGCTAGTCTCACCGTGCCATTGTAGTCGGCCGTTTCGCCTCCCCTGGTAGGGCACCTGTCGGTTTCAGGCGCCGCATCAAGTAAACAAAGATTCTTCTCGTGATCTTTGCCACGTGTGCCAGCTACAGTTTGAAATGTCAGCGCGTGTAAAATTTGCAGATGCAAATATTCCGCCACCTTTATATGCCTCGTAATTGTCGATCAAGCCAGAGGTGAGGAATTTGTCCTACTGTCTATGCCACCGCCGAGCCAGCCTATCATAGCCCTTGGCGAACCAAAGTGGCTTGATCGGTGCGAATATTTGACAATTGAAGGGCCCAAACCGGTTAGACAATAAGTTTATGTTTTATTACTGACCACTAAGCTCCGACAGATGCGGCATGCGGCAGAAGCCAAACCATCTAGCTAGCAACTCAAGGCAGGCCATCGAAGTCCGTTTTCCAGTATTTGTAAGCTGGCTCAAATGTATAGGAATACCGCAGCGGCAGCTCTATGTTGACAATTGTAACTTAGTAGTTGTTTTCCGCCAGGGTCTCCAAGTTCGGGACATCATATACCATTTGCACAATAAAGTGAACGTTTAAAAACCAAATTAGACATTTTGCAAACTGAGTTGGACGCTCAGCAAACCAAATCGGGTGTTTTGCAAAATCAAATTTATAAAAAATAATGATGTGTCCAGCTGTACGCCGTACCAGCGTTTCGCTGCCGTGCGACAACCACCAGCATATACCGCGAAGACGCCCGCCACTACGCGGATTCGAAACGGTGACCTTATGGTTGCAAAACAGGCGAGCCGACAACTGGGCCACCGGTACACGCAAAAACAAAATGGACACATTGCACTCTAAGCAAAAAAATCAGCAATTTGTCAGATGCTGAGAGCGTAAGGCTGCCGGCTTGCGATTGTCGTGGCACTATTGACGCGGTCTATCTGATAGTGGCACTTCTCCAGCGTAATCTTTAGCCGTTTGAAGGCATTGAAGACCGTAGACACGGAAAGGTGGATCCCATCCTCTCTCACAGCTGGTGCAGTTGCACTAAACTGTCCTCAGAATGCCGTTCAACAGTCTCTTCAACGCGGTGCACAACAACGGGAGTCAACTTCTCCATGCTGTTTCCTACACATTTGCGCTGGGTATTGGTATCTTCTCGCCTGTATGATGATGTTTCCTGCCGTGCTCCGGTCGACATCGGCGACTTCAGCAGCTTTGTGGGTGGTTTCACCGTCGATGAACACAAGCTCGGTAAGCAGCACAAGCCTAATAAACGAGGCTGGGGATGGTGGAGTCATAACATCCTGTACTGTTCCAATAGTCGTGCAGCTGCATGGGTTCGCCCACATGCACACACAAAATACGCGAAGACCTATAGAGAGACAGGGAAAACTCGGTCACCGCCTTTCATCGAGGTAAACGGCACCTGTGATCAAGAGAAGAGCTTGCACAATCATCCACCGTTTGAACCGTTCGAAGTAGCCTAAATTCAATGTGGTCTGAATATCGTCCGGTCGCCATACCACTATTTCTTGCTGATAAATTGCTGATTTTTTGCTCAGAATGCAATGTGTCTGATTTGATTTTGCAAAACGTGCAATTCTGTTCACAAAACTTCCGATTTCGTGCGCAAAATGTCCCATTTGGTTTGCAAAACGCCCGACTTGGTTTTCAAAATGTCCAAATTGATTTTCGAAACAAAATTTGTGGTGAATATGGTATATATGTGATGTTCGTAGGTTGTTATCATCAAGTATAGACACGATGGAGTTATGCGGGTGTTATGCTCGTCGGTGGGCGGATAACTTGGGCTGCGAAGTTGCACGTACCATTTCATCAAACTTTGCTTCGGCCTCACAATATCCAGGGATAAGTTGAACTTCAGGCCAGCGGATCCGAGGACAACTGTAATGGTCCATGAGTGCAGAATGGAGGCGACTCATGTGACCTCAGTGATGCAGTATCCAATAAAGGCAACCGTTCAAGGACTTCGATAAACGGCAGCCACGAGCAACTTAGCGCGCCTGGGGTGGATCGTACATCATAGCTGGTCACATAGGCCATCGTAGCTCCGGTAGACGCTCGCAATTCTCTCACAGAGAGAAGACGGATATAGAGTAGGACGTTACTGTGGACATTCGATAGCCTATTATAACGGGAGCACGAGTAGCCAATAAGTGAAACTTCCCGGGTAAGTTCCTCAGCATTCAACCAGGTCTGGCCGCTCATAGAAGCGAAGTGGTACGGCTCGTTACGCTTGTTCATGAGATTGAAGATGCAGGCCGTGGTAGGAACTACAGGGCATGCCTGAGGAATTGGTGACTTATTTATCCCAATTCGTGTTGTAACCGCCAGAAAATTTGCAGCACGTAGATTTTGTTTCTCTTTCACCGGTTCGTCGCTTTAGTTCGATGAATGCACACTTGAGACGCCCTAGATCTCCCCGCATCCATATATGGGCGAAAATGCACCCTCTCGCATCTATGCGCAGCGTGCAATTATTAACGTATTAGCTAGCAGATATGAACGCGGACCTAAGGATAATGGCGAGGGATATTTGAGACGCCCGTCGCACAATGGTAGAGTGCGCATGTGCTGTATGCTGGACCCGTTAGATGTGCAGACAAAAGCGGTTGTCAGTGATCACTGTTCTTACTCATGACGAGCAAGACACTCGAGAATTGCGAAAGGATAAAAAGTTGGATGGGTAGCAACTCATCGCGAGCTTCCATACCCAACAAAATGCGTCGACAAATATCTCAACCGATGATCGCACTCGGCTCCCACACGTCTAGTGGGATGCACAGCACTGTTCATTAGAATGGAGATGCACTTGTGCCACCAAGTAGGTAATGTTCAGCCAGCGAAAGTGCGCTCGCGAAGATGCTACAGGTGCAGCATGGAGGCAGCTAGTTACATGTCTGGAAGTGATGGCTTTCAAGTTAGCTGGTTAATGAGCTACCGGTAGTCACAGAGTATCTGAACCCACGTGGTGACTTCTAACGACCTGCACAGCAAATCGAAACGAACAGGACCGGAATACATGGGGGGAGTCCTGAGTGTGGTGGAGAAAGTGCAACAAGCCTGCCACGTATGGTTGATTGTAATCCCCTGACTGTGTCCTGGGTTATGACAGTAGGTGCAGATTTCCAATAAAGATTTACCGAGATGGTGAGGGGCTTCGTGCCCCGTGTATACCGGTCACTCAGTAATGTGCACATGGGGGAAGCACGCATCGATGCCGCGCACAATGAGATGACGGAGCAGAAGCACAACTTCCCCATCATCTAACAACTGTCACCTTGGTTAGAAAGTACAGTAAAACCTCCGAAGTTGACCACCTCTTTAGGTTGATTGGTTTTTGTTGCATTGGTTGAATGTCCATCGTTATGGATCCAGACCTCTGTATGCTGACCGCTTTGGCCCAGTCCCTCGAGTGATCAACTTACGGAGGTTTTACTGTGGTAGCATTCTGAAGGGCATACTTGACGTGGTGGTGTCAGACGAGTGGCACGGTGCTAACAACTGACTGTTACATACGTAGTGGGCATAACAATCGATCACCATGCGGTGAATCGCGCACTTGAGCATAGGTGAAGCGTAGCGACGAACTCTGAAGTATGTCACCTCAGTCAATGAACCGGTGCATCTACAAACATCTTTCTTCCTAATCAGAACTCAAAGGCGTTTCTATAATCAAGTCAAAAATTTTAAACTGAGCATAAAAGAAATGATCTCGGATAGCCGATGTGTCTAATATTAACTATACGACCCCAGCGCTAAAGTGCAATGAATCATCACTAAATCCCGCCACGTTGACAATAAAGGTTGGAATAGCGAAAGGAAACAAAAAAGGAGAAAAGCAGAAAACGTGAAAGGTGTTAGGAGAATCACTATTTGACATCCATCTTTTGTGAACGACCTTAGTTACCGTTTTTCATCCTTCCTTTTAACAGTTGTTTAAACGCTCCACTACTTTAATCCGATTGGCAAACGCACGTCGATAGTAATGGATGCTCATTTCACGAGTCAGTTTCAGCAGCATCTTTTCCAAGAACATATTTGATTGAATTCTACTGATTACTGGTTGGAAGAAGTGATATCTGTGTAGCTGTATCGAATATCACTCAAGTACAAAGACCCGTTAGTTTGGGTGCACTCGATATAATTTATATCGGCAAAGTGTTTGTCTAGGAATTTCTTGAATTCCGACACCGAGTTTACCTCAACTATGTGCTGCGGCAGGCTGTGCAGTACATTCACCACTAATTCAAATCCGGTTATGTTAATGGAGAGTTTAGTTGACATACATTTTGTATCAGTTGTTAATTTCCGCGTTTGCATTTCTTCCTACCATCTGTTTTATGAGCCTCGTTTAAACAAGCCATTTCTTTATTCTGACCGGCCGGCACCCGTCGCTGTGAATGGATGTTCACCTTACGGGTTGGGCCCCATAATGCCATTTCCAAAGACATCTGATTCGTTCATCATTCCATGGCTACTCACTCATTTGCTGCATTTAACATTTTCTCTCTGTTTGGTTAGCTCGAATGAATTTTAGTAGTTTCCCTTCAAAACCCTTTTGAAAGTATATAAGCCCGTGTGATTTAATGCATACGGCTCTTTTCCCGACTCGTGTTTGGAGTTCATCTTACAATCGTGGGGCACGAGCAGTCGGTGGCAACCCAACAAAAGACATGAGGCAAAAGGCATGTAAACGGTCGAAATGGGGGAACAACAGCTGGAAGCCACCATGTCGTACGGTTAAACCGTATAGATACGGATGAGCGCAAAAAGGAATAAAATCGAACACTTGAGATTATTAATGCGTGGAAGTGGTGACACTTACCGAAGTTCCCTATTTCCTTTTGGAGAAGCTGACCGAGATCTGAGAATCCTACTGGTGGTCACAGATGAAGCTGGCAAAGACTTTGGTGGATGTGGGTGTTCTGAGCTCCTGCCTGGTTCTCGTAAAGCGGTGGGAATGCCATCAGCCTTCATGTTGACAATTTTTGGGCGAAGTAGGCGATCCTCACTGGGGACACTCGTGGACAGGACTCTCGAAAATTCGCGCGTCAAGTGCACGCACTGAATGTGTATCCGTATGGCTTGGAGCTCATGCACTAGACGGTGAAGACAATAACATCCCGTCGTGAACAGACGAAAATTCAACGACGATCTTTAAATGACGTTTAAAGAGAACGTGATGTTACACTGCTATTTCATTCTTCGCTGATGCTCTCTCAATCCGACGAGTGTTCATGTAGCAGTTCGTACGGTCAACCAAAAGTTATAATAACAGAGACCTAGCTGACCTGACGAAGACAGTGCGTGTGTGCACTGCAAGTTCCTACACGACATAGCAAAGCGAATGTAGGGTGCATAACGCTGTAATAAGGCCGGTTTTAGTATAGGAATCAGAAATATGGGCACTTCGAATTGGAGATATTAAGAGGCTGCACGTCAGTGATCACCGGCGGTTGCAACATACAATCTATTCAAGCGAACTCACTGTGGGTTATTACTCGTTGTAACAAGAGTAACCCTAGGCTCGGTAGCACAAGAGTAAGTTAGTCGCTATGTCCCGGATTCCAGCTGCAATTCTACTATCTTCACCTGACGAGTGTAAATGACTATGAAGTGGGTCATGGAAAGCAGTAGTGCGAGAGAGTACGGTCTCGACATTCACTTGAAGTTCAATAGCGGCCTAGAGTGAGATTGTGTGTCGCGAACCATACATACAACAGGTGTTTAAAATAAATCCACAAAGGCGGATGTATCGGTGTATGGACGGATGCCTCATGCTGAGGTTGATGTTGCATACACAATGCTTCTTCACCGCAGTTGGGCTACACCGACACTTACATCTAAACTAAATCTTTTTAAGCTAGATGAAATGTATTCCATTTTATTTGATTTGCTAACTTCTCAGATTCTGCTTGATTTTTGGTGCCCATTACGCGTGCGTATTTTTCTTTAAATTCCATGTTGGTTGTTTGATATCCCCGGTGTGGCTGCGCTTGATATGAATGTTGATAAGGTGCCTACCTGTCTATTACCCACCACCTCATCTATACTGGTTCCAGGAAACTGTGAATCGTTGCTGGGGGACGGGGTGCACCATCCTCGTGACCGTGGTAGGCTCAAGTAGTGGTTCCATGCACTCAGTGTGGAGCGAACTGCGGTCCAGCCAACGCCTTGTGTATGTCTGGTATGCATGTTTCCCAATTAGGCATGAATGCTTCCGCTCTGATTGTTGAAGGAGTGTGGGCCTGCTCCGTTGATGAAACGTGGCTCCCATCCGCATGCCTCTCGGTCTTATTACTTTGCGTTTACACTGGATATGGGGTGCGTGGTTGGAGCTGTGCCTGGTGCAGCGCAATCCACCTATGGTCCCTCTGTAGGCACAGGCGTCCTGTGGCTGTCCCCGTTGAGGCCACAGTGACAGGCAAATCCGGAACTAGATGCCGCCAACCATGGATGGACACGGTTCAGAGGAGAAATGAGCCAACGATGATAGGGTAACACAGAGCATAAAAACGACGTCGTCTCAAAAACTTATAAGGTTGTATGGATCAGTTTCTTCCCTACAACAAGAATAGGGCACCAAATGTGTACTCACGAATCAGGCACAATTGGGGTTAGTACACTGAGACCGCCAGCGAAGATAAATTTCCGAGTAGGCGCAAATCGAGGGGTTCAGCACGATTACGGTAGTTCCGATTTGCACCTCGGGTCACGTGGATGTCATTTACTTCCGATTGTTATGTGCTTCACGATCGAGGTGTGTGCGTAGAGGCTCTGAAGTAAACCGATTAACGGCCAAGTCGCATCGTTGCTTGCATTTCACCCTTGACACAAAGTATACGGGCTGAACGTGAATACATCAACTTATTGTATTTCTCAGAGGAAATGAGACATCGAGAAACTGTCCCCCGCTCTGAAGTACCCTGAGTAAACGTCCTTTCATGTTTGCCCACTAAGTGTCATCGATAACAATGACAATGTGCTAATGCTGTGAACCGACGCTACAACCCTACAGATAAGAAATGACACGCGTGGACATTGCAGCATCAGGCAAACACCCATGTGCTCATGACTTTAGAACACCGCAATGGCCGACCGCCGCGTGAAGGTGATGTGATGTCGGCGAGACCTTCACTCTGAAACCTTCACCATCCTACGTCCGTATCGACCTTATGACACAAATAGCTTAGTAGCACAGACATGTGAAACAAGTGATCTGGTTGTAAGGCGACAGCGAGTGCACCGTTGACACCGGTAGCGAGCCACGTTCTGTGGCGTCTCTAGCCAAACAGAATGAAGTGAAGAGGAAACGGACCAGTTGCATCCAGGTGGTCCTTAGCCTTATTACGTATGAACATTATTCGCTGAACTAAGGAAGCAAAGTGATCAGTACTGTCTAGTACTTGCTTGTTCACCTCGTGTGAACTGATACCAGTCAGCCCGAGTAAGGCTCCGCTGGGAAAGATGGTCAAAGGGACGAAGACACATGGGATGTTAAGATCAGAAGAGTAGAACGGTCCTACCTGTTGCATTGCAGATATAACCATGTAGCCCAAGTGAAAGCCCGGGTTGGTGCCAAAGTGACTGCAGTTTCATGAAGGTGGTTCTAGCTTTGCAGCATATCAGAAAACAACATGGATTCTTGTCAATCGGATGAAGAGGCCCAAGATGAGGGCTTATAGCAAATTGAAGGACAAGGTAAAGTTCCGGAGATATATAGACCGACCGGGCGGAACTGCACGCCAGCCACTGACAATGCCGCTGCCATGATAAGTGGAGAAGGTCGATTATCTCCTGTTTCGCATCATTCAGAAGGCCGGTGGTATACAACGACCCTTTACATTTCGAAGGTGCAAAGCCGATATCGAAAAGCGGGACAAACTTGAACAGTTAGTCCAGGGTTGGACGCTATGGCTCAAACATGGATCAGCAGCAAAACTAGCAGCCACTGTATCGATGGTAAAGCCGGAATGACCCTGCTAATGAAGAATAATAAGTGTTATATGAGGAAGATCTAGTGCAAATCAGTAATGTCCTAAGCTAACATTCGGGGTTACACGCCTAAACCTTGCTAATAGCGTACGACCACGAACAACTGCACATCGTGTAACGAGTAAGTAATGCAGAGAAATCTCTGCTGCGGCTTCCCCTGTCCCGCCTCATAAGCAACCTCATTTCACAGAAAAATCAATCTCGGACACACTATAAGCAAGAGTTTCAACTAGGAGGGGATTTCTAACCAGGTGTCTGCAACGAAACATGCCCTCCTGTAAGGTCTCGAGGTGAGCACAGAATAGGTTGAGTGGACTCAAGCCTGGATGGTGAGACGGACTAACAGCACTCAGACCAGTGATCAATAACTCCATTTCGCTCTACCGAATCAAAGATTGCTCCTTTTCATCCTTAGGCAATTTACAGTGAAATTTCGCCTACGTAGTGATTCCAGCCATTACAAAACTAAAACTTAGCCTGGAAACCTGAAAAGGAAGCTTTTGGCTTGCATTTTTACGATTGCCTGGTCGCTCTGAAAAGAATACTCTCTGTATATATATTATTGGCTCCTAAGACACCAATGGAAACAATGAGTAAGAAATCACTGAGATTTCTAATATCCGGAAGCCACCCATTAAAACAAGAATGTAAACTGAGTTGGCGATTAAAGGTCGGCAAATTTGGAACTTTCCGAGACGAAGCCGATGAGGAAGTCCGAAAGGAAGCATGTATACTTCAACTTCATTAATCTATCCTATAGATTGGCGACACAAAGTTACAGATTTGCCTGTCACTGTGGCATCCCTGGAGACAGTCACAGGACGTCTACGCCTACCCAGGACCATGGGTGGCTTGCGCTACACCACCCACAGCTGCATCCACACACTCCATATCCAGTGTAAACCCGAAAAAATAAGCGGGAGGCATGTGGATGGAAGCCACAGTTCATCGGAGTCAAGCTGCACATCACTCATTCGAACGGGGGAAACATGCATAACGGACGTACACATGGCGTTGGGTTGGTCTTAGCCCTCACCACACTGCAAAGAGACAACCTTTGAGCCTAGTACCGTCACGAAGACCGTGTACCCTGTTTCCCCCAACAAACGATTAACTTTCTACTGTAACCAGTAATCGAGATGAAGAATTTCCGACAGGTTGGCACTTTGTCAACATTCATACCAAGCGAAGCCGGGCATACCACACGTGAGTGTTGGTGTCAAGCGCAGATCCGACAGACAGTCTAGTTTACCCCAACTGAGATGACAAAACACATAATATGCATCACAGCCCCGGTCTTGACAACCTGTACAATAAGACGCCAAAATATTACTTACGGTGTGTTACGATGGCTCTTATAAAGAGGAAGGTGGGACAGCCGATGGTACGCTGAGGCTGGTGGTGGCTAGATCCTGACAGATGGTCCACCCACTGCTGCTACTGTTGTGCCATGCCCTCATGTCCTGGACGCCTCCTCGTAGTGACCGTTGGGTAGGAGTTGGGTTACGCCCTTCTCCCTGCTAAGATCCAGGACACCAATCCGCATGAGTCAGTGCACTGACCATGTGCTAGACCCGCTGCCTTTCGGGTGTACAGTTAAACGAAGGCTTTGATGGGTGCCCTGCCAGTATCGAGTTCGGAGAATAGTAAGTGGCCAACGGCCCTCTTTCCGTAAAACCTAGCCATGGGAGACAACAGGTATACGGGTTATAAGCTCACAGCTCGATTGGCGTAGAGCACGGGAGTCACGCATTGCCTCTGACGATGGGAGGGCAGCTTCGGGTGCTCAATTGTTCGCTAATGGCAGCCTCAAGCCAAGCAACCCCTGGCCAAATCGATACAAACCCGCCAAAACCCTCCTGCGTCTGGCTGTGGTCGCAGGTGCCTATCCTACTACGGTCGCAAAACATATAGGAATCGTTTCAGTACCTCAAAGGCTGCGTGTGACGGCCGTCAAGCAGATCCCAATCTGTCTCTGCAATCACATTCCCGAGCTGCATCTGCTACACAGTGCCTTATGGGTCAGGCTATTGAGTCAAAGGCTCCGGACGGAGTCCCTCATTCAAACCTCCAAACAACCCACTGCTTTGTGGGTCAGGCTATT